CAGTAAGTAAGTACAGTAATGGATGTGTTAGTGTGTGATAATCATTTCTCATTGTCTGCATATATAAAATCATCATTGTACACCTTGAACATGTACAATTTTTGTCAATTATCCCTCATTAAAGGTAGGGGGAAAAAGGACCCTGAATTATTTAAAAATAAAAGCATGGCCATGACTCAGATGATAGCAACAGAGTGTAGATGCTTGTGCACAGTTGGGGTTCCTAGGCTTAAGGAAGGGATCTTAGGGCGAGTAATTGGAAAGATAACCATGTTGAAGCTGCTGGAGTCGAGTGGGTTGTGGTCACCCATACCAATGGCGTGTCCCAAACTCCAACTTCCATCCATAGCTACCTCTCTGACAGGGTCATGATTTAGAGCAGGCTAATAGGCATTGCCAAGCTTGGCACCATTGACTTGTGGGGCCAGTACACTCTAACTGGTAGGTGCCATCCTGTACATCACTGGAGGTTTGTAGAAGCATCCCTGGCCTCTAACTAGATATCTGTATCGCCTCCCCCAGTTGTCACCAGAAATGTCACCAGACATTGTAAAATGTCCCCCCATGGGGAAGGAGGGGACAAAATTACATGTGGCTGAGAACCACTGATTTAGAAGGGTCATGAATGAATTTCACCATTGTATTATGCTCCTATTTCTGCATTTTGGAAGAGGAGATATTGCTTCTCCAGGTGTTTCTGCTAAAGCTTTTCTGTTTGGATTTCTGCACCAGGATAAGGAAATGAGAAGAATGCCTTTAAGGATTTCCTATTCTCTCATATCCTTCCTTCTTTTTATTCACACCTGCTTGGGGTTTTTTTTCCTCTTCCTATTGAGAAATAAGTAATGTCTTATGGATTTAGGCTTGCAGTTTATTTTCCTACTGCACTAACTCAATAGATGTATACTTTCCCACGACAACAAAAAAAATGCTTTTTGACAGCTGGTTTTTATGAGCTGGATTCACTTTATAATGCATTCCAAAGGATTTCATCTTATGAAGCACCACAAAAGCCTGTTCTGAACATCACAAAAGTTTAAAAGGACATTCAATCCTCTTTTAAGAGAAGCACTGTTGGGCTGAGGCCCCAGGCCTTCTGTTTCTTTGAGGACTCTCTGTGGTTTAGAAGAGAAGCAGACTTTCCATAAACCTTCTTTCTTCCTAAGCCCACCAGGGAACTATAAGCTTAATCAGTGTTTGAAAATATTTTTGAGATGGAAGCCAGTCATGATGACGCATGCCTGTAATCCAAGCACTTGGGAGGCTGAGGCAGGAGGGCCACTGAGAGTTCTAGCCCAACCTGGACTGAGTGAGTTCAAGGCCAGTCTGTACTACATAGTGAGACCCTGTCTCAAAAAACCCAAAATAACAACAACAAAAACCCTCTATTTTTGAGATGAAAAATACAATGATCTCCAAACACTGCTGTGAAGTGTTGTTTTCAAAACCTCATCTTCACATGAGCATCTGTTTTAACAAGTCCTGAGCAAGACAGAAATGACTAGAAGTGCCCAATGGTGATGGAGGAGGTGCCTGAGGTCCTTCTAAGAGCCCTGGTGTCAGGGAAGGGCAGTGCTTGATGGCTGAGGTCGCATGTGTGCTGTATGCAGTCCTCTGGCCTCCAACAACTAATTATTCATGTGGGTAAATAATGAAAAATGCTTTTCTTTATGTCCCAGATGTTGCTGAAACTAGAAATCAATTCAGGCACACATCCGGGATAGAAATCAGGAGACAGCATTAGCCAGCTGGTGTGGTGAGAGATCCAGACCGGAAGGGGATGACTGGGCAGCAGCCATAAGGGCTTCTTTCCCAGAGTTGTGGACAGAGAGGCAGAGAATGGACATCTGTTTTACCGATACGGGGGTGGCAGAGGCACCATGTTTCTGGTCAGATGTGTTTGAGGAGCTTACAGTTCATAAACAGAAAAGCAAACCGAAGTTAAATTGAGGTGCTATCACTTCCTTTGCTCTGGCATGGTCGATAAGCAGCCTGCAACCTTGAATTTGACCTTGCTCCAGCTTTTGCAGCCTGGCAGCTTTATGCTGTGCAGCACAACCCACATGTGCAAGTGTTGTGCCCTGGAAAGCCAAGGTGGGCAGGAGTTACACCTTGCAGCTGCAGCTCTGTAAAGACACCTCAGCTGTAATCTGGAAGGTTGGGAACACCTGCAGGGACCTTCCCCAGACTTCTGGCATTTCTCTCTCTCTCTCTCTCTCTCTGACAGGGTCTCACTATGTAGCCCAAGTTGGCCTCAAACTCATGGTGATCCTCCTGCCTCAGCCTCCTTCCTGAGTGGTGGGATTTCAGGTGTGAGCCACCACACCTGGCCTCTCACTTCCTCTTGTTAGTCACTGATTTCCATTCCCTTGTCTGGACACTTACTTACTTCAACTACCGTCAAACAGCATAAGCCTTAACTAATGGCATCAGTGACAAGAGTAGTTTGACTGAACTTACAAAGATCTGCATTTATTTTTTAGTTTGTCTGAAGTCCTAAAATTGAGAACTAAATGATTAAGATGTGATAGGCAAATGTACCAATTCCCCAAGATGAATGTGATTATTATGTATTGCAAACATATGCTAATAAAAAAGAAACAACTGGAGCTGGGTGTTGCAAAATGGTGTCCACTCACTGGCTTTCTACTTGTGACTCAGTACCAACAGAAGTTATATAGGAACAACTGATGGTGGAGCCTAAATCACACTCATGTTTGAAGAAGCTGCGTTAGAATGGAATTTCTACCTTTCCTGCTATCATACACTGGAAGAAACAAAGGTTGGCGAATGAGCCAACCCATGATCAACCAAGCTCTCATTCATTTACTTCCACAAATATTTACTGAATGCCTACTGTGTGCATGGTTCAGAGCTGAGATCATTGTGTTAAAGGTCTTACACTCATTTCTTTTATTTTCCTTCTACATCGTTATCCCCATCTCTTAGTTCAGTTAACCCCTTTACTTCTACCTTCCTGTGAAATTATACTTTATGGGTCTTGATTGATCACTGATCAATGTAGAACAGTGATTCTGTATTCAGATGAACAATGGCTATAAAGCAGACCCTAAAAGAATAGCAGTATCAGAGGACAGAAGTTTACAGGAATCTCACTTGGCTGAATGCAAATTCAGACTAATTTACTTACTTTCCTTGGGAATATTTGCAGTTGATTGTTCAAAACCAAGATTCACGTGTCCTTAAGGAAAGTTTTTACCTTCAATATTTGAAAAAAAAAAAAAGCCAAGTGCATGATATAGAGTCTGGCCAACTGGGAATGCATTTCCTGAGATATATTGATTTACATAAACACTTGAGCACTCGCTTTATTGCTTTTCAGATGGGCTCAGCACTTCAATAAAGACAAAAGGATAGTGGAAAGAGCATTTGTCACTACAACTAGACAAATGTGTGGCCTCAGTGAACTGCTCTGTACTCAGTGCTCTCCTCTATGGTGGTGCTGGACTAGTTGATCACCAAGTTATTACCCAGCTCTCATTTTTTATGTCTAAATGGTAGGATTTAAATAATAATTTAACAACTGAATTAATATTGAATAAGAGCTATTTGTGCATGTATCAAACACAATCTGCATCGTGTTTCATGTTTTTTTCTAAGATAGCATGTAATATCTATTCATATTGAAAGGGTGAGAGTGCAAATGTTTTATGATAATATATACATAAATATTCCTCTTCCTTGGCCTTTTTCATCCTTCAACAATTGGATACACAGCCTAATTTTCTTTTTTTTTTTCTCCATACTGGGGATCGAACTCAGGACCTTGTGCTTACTAGGCAGGCGTGGTGCCACTGAGCTAAATCCCCAGCACTACAGCCTAATTTTCATTAGATATAACCACATTTTATATAAGGCACATCTTCAAAGGTTGTTCTTGACCTGGAAAATTAAAATATCCCAAGACCACTACCAGGGTATGGAACAGGTCATCTCTTACCCGGATACATGTGAAATTCAAAGATCAGCACTGTAGATATAGACTCCATCATCTTCTGCTTGGAAGTTTCCTTTCAACAGAATATGAAAAAGAAATTCCACAAGGAATAGGTGTATGGAGACACCAATCGTTTGACCAGAAATTGTGGAAAAGCTCTTATGCTTACATCATTATGGGACAATTAAATTAACCTGGGTATTTTCTTTAAATCAAGGTAAACATTATTGTCTTGAAAGTAGTAAATCCTTTCCAAACAAGAAACCTGAAAGTACTATGCACACTTCTTGGGAGGATGTAACACAAAAGGGCCAGTATATACTCAATACTTCAAATTCATAACCTACCCCAAATTTCAATACCATAAAAATAAATCTGAATGAATACAATAAGAAAAAGAGCATCAATTTTTATCTGAATATAAAGCCACAAAAGCATAGTGACAAGAAAGGGTTGAACCTAATTAGGATTGCATTGCTATATGAAGAACAGATGCCTTGTGCTATGACCCACACCTTACCTAGAAGACAGCAAACTTTCAATGCACCTGTATTTTAAATCACAGGGATGACTTGACCAGTAACAGAAAGAAACACAGTGAGGAAGATATTTGGAATTTGTCTCGCTCTACCTGTCAACCTATAAAATCTTAAGTTATCAAAAAAAATCTTAAGTTATTGTATCAGTCCAGGATTCAGCTGCACTGCTTAGAACACTTGCAGATGTCCTCACACAGGCCCCATAAGAAAACTTGGGGTCTTGCAAAAATTTCACAAAAATGTGCAATGAAACACTCTGTGATAATTGGTGAATTGGTGAATCCCTGCTACTTCCTCTTCCAACGAACAGTACGGATGATCTGTCAGGACACTACCAAATGTAAAGAATACTTACTACAAGTACTAAATACATATTGGTGTTTTATGATCACACATGTCAAATAAAGGAGGAAATATAAAAATTACATAATTACTAATTACACACAAGCAAATAAGGAGTCCAAACAAGGAATGTGGCATCATGTTAAATGTCTACACAGAAGAGATGGAAGAATACATTGTGCAAAAAAATGAATGGCCTCAGGTGTTGAGAGACCCAATACTCATTTACCAAAACTTGAGATCATATGGGATGCAACAAGGAATGATCCCATTATCATGAACACAGTTACTAGCAAATTTCAAAACAAATCTTTCCTGGACAAGAGAGTTCTATTAGAAGAAACTGAAAAGAGAATGTGAAAAGATAGATATAAGGATACAGCTTAAACCACCAATATGCTTGGATATTCCAGTTTATCACACATACTGTTAAAAGATGCTCCAACTGTATCGGGAAATGTTAATTAAAATTAAGCTAAGAATATTGTCCAAATAGCCCATACTTTATATAATACCCACTTGTATAATACCCCATGCTTGCTTACCATTAAATTGGAAAGACCACAATGATGATACTGAATCAGGACACACAATCAATGCCCAAGTATTCACAGATTCCACATATGTTTTCACTGCCAGGAAATCACTGTAAAATCATGCACACTTGAATTGCTATAGCTCTGTCATTTCTCATATGTCCCTCTGGAACAGAAGTTGGTGCCTGTACGGGTCAGGGACACCATCATCCTTGAACATTGAATATAAAGATTGCATATCCTGTGCTGTGAGATGGACCCACATCTGCACTTTCCTGAGGATCACTAGGGTGAACCTTGAGGGCCCTTCGAGGCTCAAGGCCATCTCATGGCCCATCACAGCAGTGCACATCATGGAAAACCAATCTGGCTTATGTCTCCTTGTATTGCATATCTGAGCAACTATTACTTCATGGTCCACGTACCTGGATGCCTCAAGACATCCAGGGCAAAGTCTTGAAAGACAACGCTTATTTTCTGGCACAGAGACGTGCAAATCCTACTTGGGTGCTATACCAGGCAGAAAAACTAGAAATAACATGAGTCCAAGCTGGTGCTTTGACAACTGAAAGGAGTAAATGAACACTACAGGTCAGGAGTGACGGAGTAAAAAATGATGCTTAACAGTGGTACTGCAGAGACAATCCGGCTTGAACTATGTACCTGTCAAAATGAGGAAGAAATATAAGAGAGATCAGAACATCCATAAAATGCACATTGGAAAACAGAGTCTCCACTAAGTGAATGTGACTCATGAGTCCTTACCTGTCATAGAGCCCAGAAGAAAAGACAATGCTTAACATAATCTTCACAAAAAGCAATGTGGCCACACACACTGAGATACATGGGACAAACCTGAAAAGAGAGACACAGTGATGTGGTCTACAGTGTGGCATGGCCACTTTATGAGCTCCCTAGTAATGGGGTAGGTGGAGACCAAAATCTCTTGTGGATCAACTGATTATTGTGATGGGAACCTAAGGAAAACATAAGGCAAAATTTCTTTGAGAATACAACCCACTCTGCTGGGACACCTGAATCATTTATCTTCATCTGCACCTTGAACATCTATTAAAAAACAATGTGAAGCCTACAGATATTCTCACCTAAAGAAAAAGCGAAATATAACATCTGAAGAGTTCATTCTTTGATCACTAAACTATAACTAAAGGGGTAAGTATTTAGATTGGGCCAGCTCACCCAAAATGAAGACCTAGGTATGGGGAATCCCCCACCCAGTTGCCACATATGTCTTCTCTGATCAAGTCCCGGCTGTCCACTCAGAGTCCTGGGAACGGCTGAGCGATCCATCATTTCCCAGCTGAGCATCTGCAAGCCAAGCTTGGTCAGAAGTCCTCGGGTCTGGGACGCTGGCCTCACTTACTGTTCTGTAAGAAACCAGATGATCGCTGCTGGGATCTAGGCCCACATTCACACTGACCTGGTATGCAGCAACTTTCCACTTGAGCACCTCCTTGGCTAACAGGCAGGTTTGGACCCCTTTCTGAAAGAGAAAGGGCCAAGCGACCTAAGGGGGTGGTGATGGGGAACCTGTCTTCTCCTCTGCCTCTGCCTGCTCATTCCCTGGCTCGTGGTATCCATTGGAGACCCAGGCCCACTGCCCACAGACTTACTACACCTGTCCAATCCACGGCCCAGCAGAGAAGTGCCATTCTCCCTTGTGGATCCTGGCCCAAATGGCAAACTGACAATGGACAAACTGACCCTTGGTTCATGAGGCCATTCCCTGCTCCTTCCCCTATCCCCAATAGTTCACAGGAAATGTCCCAGGTTGTGACACAAGATGAAGAAGGATGGAAGCCATATTAGGTTCTATGGCACCCAAGCTGAAGAGGTGGGGGGAGGGAGAAGTTCCAAGTCCCTAACCCCTTGGTGTTCACCATCCTGCAGAAATCCAGGGGTCCTGGAAGAAAATGTGCCATCATCTAGAGGTCCACCTACTCTTTAGGGTGTAGGTGGCCCCGGACAAGTGGCCTCCTGTTGGCAGGCTCCCACTGCTGAGTACCTGGATGAGGCCAATGACATGCTGGGCAGTAAGGTGTGGTCCACCGTCTGTCGCCTGTCGATGAGCAAGATTCCGCTAGCCATCGTTTGGCTGCCACATATCAATGAGTTCTCTTCCATGACACCTGAGTGGAAACCATAGCAAAGGCTGTCTGAGCAACCAGTGTCTTCCACAGGGATGGGCCCCTTCCCACTCCCTTGCCACTGGCTTCCCTCATCACCAGGCCAGGCTCTTATCTGTAGGCAGGGGAATCCACATGAGGAGAATCATATTTTCTGAGGAGCCCATCCTTCCTTGCACATCAACCACCGGTGCTCACATGTACCTCCTTGGCTGACCATCATGGTGGACCCTTGTTTCAAAGAGATGTTGCAGCCATCCCATTGGTAACCTGTCCTATTTTGAGCCTACATCCATACATTTTCTTGGTCATGATATTAATTCAGAACCCAGGCACAATTCTACTATACTTTCAATTTTCCAATCAATGTCCTGTTGGAAAATTCTGAGTATCACACCTCGATTCCTGCAAATAGTACAGATTGTCACTATGAAGTACTCTTGGATGATGAGCTGCATCCCTGGTCCTACTTTTCCCAAATCCAGTATTGAGTACATGTAAACTCTCCACTGTTGCTACTCAACATCAAAATTCCTGGTAGGATGAAAGAGTTATAAGTATTGTAACCTCACTTGGGACAAAAGAGAGGGAATGGGCCAATATTTCCCTGGTAGTTAATTTATGATGCACTTGCAAATAACATATTGTCTGATTCGATGCTGTGACATCCTCTTAGTCATCTATTTTATTCAGATCTTAAGAGAATTCATTTCCAGGACAAGTGAGCTTTCCAGTTCAAGTACCCACCCTCCCCTACCTGGATATAGAAGATCACAAGGTGTTCAATGATCAATGTTTTTTTCCCCACCCTTTTGATTGGCAAGATTCTGTCCAGTATCTTGGCTGTATCACTCCCTGAGATCTCTTTAAGGGAACATGAACAGCAAAGAAGGAATACCCTGTCTCAGGAAAAAAATCATCCTCCACCAGTATCTCTGCCCAAGTCCATGCCACTGTGAAGGCCTCCCATCCCTCTCCTGGACACATGTTGATCTGGGATGAAGTGTTATCCAATAAGCCCATCTTTTATTGACCCTGAGCTGCATAACCTCCTAGGCTGGCTTACTGCTGGCCTGGCAAATCCACAGTGATGACATTGAACCTCAACACACAATCAATGCTCCAGTAATCACAGGTCACAGGTAGAATTTTACTAGTATGAAATTACTGTTAGTCATGGTCACTGCAATTGCTGGGGACTTCATCATTTTTCTTACGTACCTCTTTTAACTGAAGGAGATCCCCAGGATGTCCAGGGACTCCATCCTCACTCTGAATGTGGGGCAGGGGATTTAGCTCAGTGGTTCCACCAGCTGCCTTGCAAGCACAAGGACCTGAGTTCTATCCCTGGTACCAAAAAAAA